TGCAGTGGCACTTAGAGGCGATAAAACTGTGTTTTGTTCTGACTCATTACTTAAGCTTTTTGTAATTTAAGCAATACACCGAACCAATTACTGAAATCAAATATATTTCAAAGAAATATCTCTCAAAGACATATTAGTCCATGACAGTATTCCAACAAAGTTCATGGCATGTAAATCACAGCTCCATGGGGAACAAGCATCTAGTCTAATATTCTGAAAGTGAAGTCACACACAGGGGCAACAAAATATAAAAATGTAGCAGGTGTTCTAGCTCAGTATGAGGGCATGCACCTTCAGTGAGCAAAGGTCTCAGTACGCTAGTGATATTCCATTGCTGAGGGCAAAAGGTGATTCATTTCTTCTATTTTAGCTTTGAGACCTCCGGTTCCAACCTGAACAACAGCTGCATAAAAAATAGGATAGAAAAAACATCACTGTTGGTGGTATCTGCAGTTTTCTCTTCATAAAAATGTTATGCCATAGGTGGCTGATAACATATTGATGTTTAACTCCTGGATGCCTCTCAGCAGGTAAAAATACCCAAATGTCTGAATATAAACTGGTGGAGACTGGCTTAAGTGCTGACAATATATACTCATTTCATGTAGAATATAGCCAATGGCATGGATTTAATTTCCGATCTTGGGGAAAACAATGAACTCAGGGAGTCTTCTGTGTATGAATACATACTTTCAGTTATGGAGAACGAAATTTCACCAAATACTTTTCTTCACTGAAACTTTTCTTACGGTTCCATAAGTCTTTTTCTGTTTATTTATATATTATCTTTCAATCACTTTTTGATGTTTGCTGTTTGTAAAGCTTATTTTTGCTTTTTGCAAAGCTGCCAGGCTATGTAGAGCCATAGCAAGCTTCAGCAATCACATGTCCAAAGCCACCCTGTGTAGCCTGAGAGGCAAACATTAAAAAGAAAAACTAGTCACCAATGTGCTCACTAAAGCTCATGAAGCTTATAAGCACAGGGCATCAGCCCAAGGCGGCCTTGATGAGTGCATCTGGATTTACTTTAAGTCATAGTGCTCTTTGAGCTTGTGACAGCATGCGATAGAGGACACTGGATGTTGTGATTTACTCAAATTGTTATTAAAAAACCTTAGATCTTTCATTGGAAACTATGCCCTTAAAGGTTTAATGTGTAATGGCCATAGCTCAAAGACACAGCATTGTACCTCTATTACTGGGTCCATACAATCTAAACTTACAGTCATCAGTTATATGAAACAAAAAGACTCCTGTCAAACGAAACCATTTTGCTCAAATGTAGCCCTGGTGTGTTCACCTGAAGATAGACATTAGCTTTAGCTATGGTCGGGTTTATATCATCTCTTCTTGAGATTAATGTATTTGTATGCATGGCCCTTGTTCAATGTGCAGGTGACTGCTAAAAAAACAATAGCCTTTCTTTGCCATATGTAAGAAATGGTTATAACCATCGGACTAAATATATTGTTATTGTCAGTATGTTCCGGCAAACCAAAGCTCCATTCAGAAAGGTCCATAAAGTTCTAGACGAAGTGTTGATGAATTTACACACAGACAACAGTGTTTGATCATGACATGAGGGGTCTACTTTGTTTGGCATTGTTTAAGCCAGAGAGTAGCTGTGGTTACGTACTTGCACACCGCTGTGAGAAAGAGGTTTGTTTCTACATAATGTATATTTGCCTGGGACGGCAACAGCTGTACCTTTTAACAACTTTTAGATAAACTCAGCGTTTTAATCATTTTGTACATTCATAAGCAACACTGAGGAGGTGGTCCAGGTGTGGTTGCTGGGTAACTTGGCTGCAGTGTTTTGTGTTTACATGGAAAGAGATATTTATCCTTAACCCACTTATTTAAGTAACCCAGTTTACGGTCAGTGCACCGAAAGGCCTCACAAGCATGATGTACAGTACCCCCGATTAGAAACCGGCTCTGAAGACTAATTTGATATCTGGTTTGTCTGCCCATTTCGATTTGTTTTGTAACTGCCCACATTTATTGGTTTGTTGTTTGTTGCAAAATTAATGATGTGTCTGCCATGGACTGAATGGACTAGTCTAAACAATTTGTGCAGTGCGCTCACATTCACCAGGTTATATGGGACATGCATGGTAGGCTACAGTATGCATGTTTATTTTTGGGAAAATACATACTCTTTTCATCGCGTGATTTGGTGATTCCAAGAAAAAGTTTTGGGGCGTTTCTGTTTAGTTGGAGGTGAAAGCTTTAAATGCAAACAGATTTGATGAATCTTGCAGGGATTGTACATGTTTGCAATGTTTGAAATACACTGCCAAATAGAAGCCGAAATATTTAAAATTAAAACGTCTAACTTTGGAGAAACTGAATTCAACGCAGATAGAAAAATAAATGAAATTGATGTAGCCTATTTGGTTTCAGCCGGGAAATCATACACAGATTATGCAATCAGTGACGTCTGATATCTGATGTACCATATGACAGCCCTCTGATGACACCACAGACAAAGACAGTAATCTACATTGCACGAGTGAAAGGGTAATATTATTTTAAATGAACCCCCTCTGAGAAATTGTTACATCAAACTGACAGCAACTTTGATGAGAAGACTATAGTCACAGATGTAGCAGTCCTGACCAAATACACACTTTTAAAATGAAGACATCACTCATATTTCAATTGAAGCGTCCATCAAAGTTAGTTTACGCTCTCCGCTGAGGATTCCCCACAATTGCTTCTCTTCGGAGACATCCACAGGCAGAGGCAGTGATCACATACCGGAGCTCCAGCCAGATGATGGAATGACTACGTACACACACGCCTTGGGTATCCCTCTCCGTACTCTGTCAAGAAGAAGCATCCAGTCACTGCTCAGTGGCAGAAGATGCATTACATTGCGGTGACATTTGAAATGGTCCCTGAGGTGCTCCACCATTGCTTTGACTGACAGACCAGCCTGGGAAACCTGTACTGTCCCATAATTCACCTGGTGCTCTGTGGTCTCGTGGATTCCCTCTCACTCTCGCGTCCCAAGATGCACGGAGCTGCTTCAGTGTCGCTGTCATACTTTTTTATCAGCGTCACTCTAGCTCAATAGAAGATTCTTCATGTATTATCGTAATAATATGATTTATTGTTTATTCAGCTGATTACTAATGGGAGCTGCTTGTAGAGCTCCATCTAGTTGTTAAGCCATATTTTATTCAACACTTACTAATCAATAGACCTGACCTTCATCTGGCTGAATAGCAAACCACGAATAATGGCTCTCTATTTGCTGCACCTATCTAAACTCAAATATGTATGATCTATGTTATTGTCTGCCATCTGTTTTATGTACAGTTTAAAAGCATTGAAATGGAAATGCATTGTTGCCATTACAAAGCATACATGGTATTACCTCAAGATGTATAGTATGATTGCAAACAATACGGGAAAACAATTACATATCTAATTAATTGTAACTATCACGTAGTAAGCAGTATTTAAAAATGTTTCCTTCATTGATACTTCTGCATCCATGTTTATAGAATATAATATGAAACATATCTTCTTCAATTTTAACCAGCTGCAAATATTAAACCATGTGTTTGATGCTTATGTTTTATCAGTTCTGTCATGTATTGTTGTTGATGTTCTTTTGATGTTCAATTCTTTGTTTTCTTTTGTGCAAAACAAATTCCCCAAGGGGCAATAAAGGTTTCATTCATGTCCTGTTAATTGGAAATGTCGTCATTGTCAACACATTCTGCTCTCAGCTGGGAATGTATATGTTCAAGAGCCAAATATATGGCTCTTAATTTAAAGTAGCGGGAGTAACATAATGAGACAAGGAAACAATAACATCGCTAACACTTATAAGCTACTTTTTGATCTTAACCCTAATTATGCTTGGCAGGGAGAGCTGATAGTACATCACAATAGTAGTCGTTAGTCAGTAGAGGTTTCTGCTCAATACTTCCTGTATTTCGACTCTTAGCTCATCAAATGAAATAGCAGTGTCAAAATGCATAAAGTATGGAAGCAAATGCTGGCCTTAAATATTAAAAAAGCTAAGGTTTATTTAATATCCCTGGCCCTTGACACTTAACTCTAAATACATTATCTCTGATTTGACTTAAACCTATGTTTACTTATTTTGATAACAACTTACTAAAAAAACTAATTGAATTTAAGGAGTTTTACAATATATTTTAATACTGCTTGCTGAATTTGTTAACCCAAAAATATATATACATGCTGGAATAAAAACGAAAAATGCACTGCTTACATTTATTTTGTAAGCCTTTATTACACTAGATTGTTTCTATACTCAATAATGTTAATGCTATAATTTGAGTGGTAATTAGATGTCATCAAATGTAGTAGTTATTCAGAATAAGGTTTTCAGTTTCATATACAAATGCAGGTTTTATGGGCATTATTTGCTTCTATTCAATTGTGCATTTGTGGTTCATGCATTATTCATTTTAACTTCATATAACAGAGTCATTTAATTTGGACTGTTCAGCAGTAAAGCATCACCACCACCACACCAGGCACCAGAGGAATACCTCCGACAGGCGGAACATTACCAGCTCCCAGGGCTGCCTTCAAAAGTACAACAAAACATCCACGCTGATCTGCTTAGCCATCCTGCCCCTCAGCCCCCTAATGAACGAGGGCAAAAGAGCTCTTGGGTTTAGCTTCTCCCTCTTACTCCAACTTAATAAGATGTCCCCCTACTCCCTCACTTTCTCTCACACACACAGACACGTATGCACGGAGCCACACACCTCCCAAACCCCAAACCACTAACCCTCGGACCAATCTGTCTGTGGCACTAATGTATTATTAGACTTACACACTCTCAAAGGGGAAACAGTGAGTGCTGAGAGCTGGAAGATGAGATATGCTACTGGGGCTACTAGTTCCATTAAAATGGCATTCACTGGGGTCTTTGTTATCATCGGCCCTGACGCTTTTAAGGATCCACTAGGGCCTGCTGATCCATGACCATCTCATCTATCTTTCAGGATTCGAAGGAAGTTGGTGTGAAATTGACACCAATGAGTGTAGCTCAAATCCATGCCGGAACCAGGGCGACTGTGTGGACCGGGTCAACGGCTACGGGTAAAGAGTGACATCCATAACCAGCTTTTCTTAGGAGGCAAGAAAAATGTCAGGCATTGTAGTGATGGACCTTTTAAACATTAGTAAATCCAGAATATTGGTACCGGTAACCTTCACTCCTGTAAAGGTTTCAGTGATTTAATTTGAATACAATGAGCTGAATGATTTGCTCTGATCTTGTGGGCTTTCTTAAAATGTATTTTAATAGATGTAGTTATGTACCATTTCAGATTGAATGAAGTCATATTTTTAACAGCAAAATACATCTGCCTGTTTTCATTCAGCCATTACGTTTAAACGGTCAAAACCCAGTAGGTATGTCACTGTATTGTATGTGCAAACCCAGTAAATAAGATATGTAATTAATATCATTAATATGTTATGGTTTTGATTCTGTTCTGTTCATGTGCCAGAAGGGAATTCAAATGTTCCATCTGAGACTAAATATCAATATTAATGATTTTTAATTTCCAGCTGTGAATGTAAGATGGGATTTTCTGGCCTTCACTGTGAGGAAGACATCAATGAGTGCACCTCTAGCCCGTGCCACAACTCTGCCATTTGTCAAGACCTTGTGAACAAGTAAGTAAAAATAAACTCTGCCTTTGCTTTGACTTAGCCTTTATCCAATGTGAGCTTTTAAATATCCGTAAAGGGCAGGCAGAATTAATTTGTGTCTTTGTTTTGGTGATTGAATGAACGAAACGGCTGTCCAAAGAAAACACACAAGATGGTGGTGTTCCAGTCTATATAGCAAGCCTGTCTTCATCCTTGACATACATAAGCTGCTCTTCTAAAGACAGAGAGCGGATTCAGCAGGAACACATCATGTATCTAGATTGGGCTTTACTCCACTGGTGCTCATCTCTGCTGTGCGTAATGGGAGCCCCGGGGCTTTCGGGCTTAGTCGGACAGATGGGTAGCAAAGTCCCAGGGCCAATTTGAGTCCTAAATGGTGTGTCTCCAGTTTGTCTCCCATCATGATTTCGCTCCCATGTGACCTGGCCCTGCAGAGCTCTCCCCTGATTGCACAGTCCAGGGAGTTCACATCAGGTGTTTTAACCTCGCTTCCCACCACAAACACTGCACACGCTGCTATCTCCTTCTCCCTGACCCAACAAGCCAAACAAGTCCATGTGTACTGCAGTGATGAATCAGACTGCCATGTATTCACTGAACCCTTGATGTCTTTTTCTCTTTTCGTAGAAACTTTGAGTTTGACACTGTGAAAGTATTTTCGTCCAACTATATATGTAAAGAAAAACCCATCTGAAATAATTGTTATTGACTCGCAGGCGAGTAAAAGTGTTAATTGTCGACAACAATGTCTCAGATCAGAGTTCACATCATTAGGCAGCACAGTTCAGTTGTGGCATTATAAATACTATTTAGCATAAATCGCAAAAAGTAATGTAATTGGTTAACTGCTAAAGGAAGGTGTCTCACTAATCAAAAGATTTAGTTTAGATTTAGCACGGACGTATCTAATTACATGTCTTCTTATTATCTGGCTTACAAATAGGATAAGCATCTCCTCTGAGGTGTGTGGTCAGGGATATTAAACCCACCGACAGCTGCAGAGAGAGACTTGAATTGAGTAAACCCCATTATTGGACAGATTAAGCTCTCCCCAATTATAATAATTCATCAAATGTAATTCAAATTAAGGACACACAGGGAAACGTAATCACTGTCAAATGTGTGTTATTCTTCATAGCACTTCGGGTCAGTTTGAGAATATAAAAAATGGTCTTAATACCCACTTTACTTTGTCTAGGTGGGTTTGGATGAAAGGTTTTGTCCACTTAATGGAATTTTCCAGAGTTAGTTAACTGAGAAAAAATATTCTACTTATTCTGAGGTTATAGTACTGTAAGACCACAACAAGGTTTTCTATAATTACTGTCTAACACACTGGTCTTCATTGCATTTGGTTCCCTAATAATTGTGTTATCACATCTTCCTTAGGTTCACCTGCGTCTGCCCCCCTGGTTATTTTGGAACGCTGTGTGACCTGGATGTGAATGAGTGTGAAGTTTCACCTTGCCTACACGAGGGCATCTGTATCAACACCCTCGGGGGCTTCGAGTGTGTCTGTCGTCCTGGATACTCAGGTAGCTCTTTTGCCCTCAGGTGACATGAAGATCAATATGAGAGTCTAAAAAGCTTATCACAACTGCTGCGGCCACGTTATTGAGGAAACTCTGACACAGATCTGGCTTAGTGTAAAAAAAGAAAAACTGCCTCTCAATACTCGCTTTTAATTAGCCCGCCTGCCTCTGAAAGATACAGTGCCTGCCTTTCAGTAAAGCTAACAAGAGATAAATTCCCGTCACCGGTTTTAATCCGATAAAAACATCTCAGTATCAGTTAGTGGCCTTTATTTCATTTCATCGGCGTCCATAGTCCCAGAATGCTACTGTTGTTTTACTTCAATCCATTTGTCTTATTTTCCACTTAGACGCATCAAGCTATTTTAGCGCTCGTGTGTGTGTATATGTGTGTGTGCGCTAAAGCCGATTCCTGTCAGGTAGTGGGAAGATTAATTTCATTTGTCTTCCACACTGTATCATCAATGTATCCTTCCCCAGTTGAGAAAGGGGGGGGAAATCTCTGAGGTATTGCTACTCTGGAGAACCCAAACTGACACACATGGCCCAATTCCCATAGCAGCAGCTTTTATTATTAGGCCTACGTACAGCATGGTACAAGTCATTACTTTTTCTGTTGCTCTAAGCTCATGTGAGGAAACAGGGTTCCCCCAGAGAGCAAGCGGCCAGAGGATACAGTTTGGATTGGCTCAAACCATCTACAACTCCTACAAAAATATTTGCTCCGGTAACATCTACTAGTATTGCAACTTTTCAAAGAAACACAAAAAGGTTCATGTTGCGCTTGTAGCTTCTTTTAAATCTAGTCCAAAAGCAAATGTTCCACCTTCATCACATCTTGTTTGTGCAGCCTGATTGGAATTGATCTAATGTTATTCTGCTTTGATGGTATGGTGCGTCATCTCCTCCATCACTTTAACTCATTGTGTCACTTGATGGTATTATCATATTATTTGCTTCAGCCATCAAGGAAGTCGAGTGTTTTTTTTTGTATATCAACTGCCAAGATTCATTTGACTGTTACAGTTGAAGGTGCTTACTAATAAATCAGTGTTGTGCTATATCTCCTCCCTTCCAAAGAGGTTATTAAGCATTCATGCATTGCTTTTCATATTGAATTTTCTTATTTCATTGTTGTTTGTCAGTGATTATTTATTGTGTCTATTTTTTACTGCAGTGAGAGTTGCCAAGGAAATGTCGTTGTACTTTGTATGATGAAAAATAAAGGTATATTCTATTCATATTCTATTTAGTGCATCTATATCTTCTGTTTACATTTTTTTTTTTTAAAGGAAAAAAATGTAAATGTTCTGACTAATACTTCTCTCTAGCTTCGAGAAAATAATTGAAGCAAAAAGCCGGAAATTGTTCTATTCAAATTTCTGACACTTCTGCCAGCTTATTATTATTTCACCTTTCTACAACTCTTTTTGACCCACTTAGAGGGTTGACAGATTAAAGCTGCTTTTTTATCTTTTCGTGTGTCAAAATTAATCACTTGTTTACTTACCACCTTTGGTTATAGCTTGAACCTAATCACATGCTTTATATCTCTATATGATGTGATGTTGCTCTTGTGTCATATTGAAAAACACTTTGAAGCACACTCAAACGTCCTGGCAGTTGCAAAGATCTCAGCAGTCTAATAATCATTTAGGATGTTTCTAAAAGGTTGTGTATTCACAGTAATGTATTGTTTAACTGTACATAGACGCCGTGCTCTGTGCTGAGGTCAGAAGTCATTACAGCGACATGATTAATGGGTAATCTTGTTTATATAAATCACAGTTTAAGCACACTATTCGTCACCTTCTGTTTTCTCTTCTTCACCCATCATTAAGGAGCACGCTCCCTTGAGTGATGGTACAGTGTAATTAGCACATAGTTGCAGCTTCCTCCGTCAGCACATTGTCGGATGATGATGTTCTGGCCTTGCTGTTTGCTGTAAAAGCTTCAGTAGATTCAGTATTTTGCTCTGACTGTGAACATGATGAATAAGATTGGGTCCTTATTTCTTCCTTTCTTCCATTTCGCATGGATATTTTGCTTCAGAGATGTAGTGTACATTAATTGTGAAAAGATAATTGAATGTATTAGTTTTATCAATTGATAACCGAGACCAGTCTTTATGCTGTGAGAGAGTTGGTTTATACATGTGTTTTGCTACTAATCACATGTGAAATATTTTAAAAGGTTGTTTAAACCCCAGCATTAAATATGAAAAACGAAATCCCATATCTCATTCATAGTTCAGCCCTATTCATGTTTTGAATTTGGTGTAAAATGCCAGCCCAAGACCTAAAGTATTTGATTACTTCTGACCTAAATTTAATGCATAGCATATTCTGTTGCAAATCTGCCTTAATCACTGAGTTTTTCAGTTGTATTATAGCTTTCTCTTTTGGCTAAATGAAACATATATTATTATATTTTGCAGGAGAAAGAGCTGTTTTACAGTCTTTGAGGAGAGATCATAATGGGGTTTTTCCGTGTAAATATTGTATATTCATTATCTTTAATGATAAATCACACAGCTCCCATTATCACTGTGTTTGTTTGCATCCGTCCTGAATGAAAAGCTAACAGAATATTTAACAATGAATCATTCATCTATAATTATTTGTTGAATCCTGGAAGATAGGAGCGGGTGGTAGATATTCTTTTTACCCCTTTAGTGAAAAGCAGAACCACAACAATGCCGCTTTGTGGGATTAGCTCCAACCTATTTATTCATTTTGAACTCCTCCAGAAAAACTGTCATTTCTGTGGAAAAAGCAGTACCTGCTATCACTTAGATATCTATAAATCAGTGTGTTTTCCTAACTTGTGTTCTGATTTGTTGGCAGGAGAGAGACTGATTTTGACACTTCGGCCCTTTCTCATTTCTCTAACTTCCCTCCTCGACTCCCCTTCTCGACTCCTATCCTTGTGTCTTAGTCCCGCCCACAGGAGATGCGAGTCGAGGAGGAGAACCGAGGAGATCTCCTCTGAGCGGTCATTTTAAAGAGAGGTCCATTAATGATGACAGGAGGCACAGCAGCCTTCTGTCTGATGGGCTATGTGTTCATGACGACTTATATATTTACTTGTATTCATTCACAGTGCGGTATAATGAGACAATAACAGGCTACAGATGCGGACATATACAGTACACACACACACACACACACACACACACACACACACACACACACACACACACACACATATATATATTTATATAAATATATACAATTTCAGAATCAAACAAGTATGAGAGCACTCTTATAATAACGTAACACTGTCAGAGATTGGATATACCCCCCCTCTCTAGTCGCTACAATGAGGAAAATAAATTACGGGCCAAAAGTTATTACAAGTACTATAAGCAGAGGACACCAAACCAACTAAGACCTGTCTGTCCCCTGCATCTACACACACACACACACACACACACACACACACACACACACACACACACACACACACACACACACACACACACACACACACACACACACACACACACACACACATACACTGTACAACACACACCTACACCTGACCACACAGCTCCTAAAGCATATGATACATATACAGTCTATGATATGATATCAGGATACAGCCGTATTATGTGAAGCACTAAATGGTTTTAGACACATTTCGACTCTTTCTTTGTAGATATACTAAACTAAAGCATACAAATAAAGAGAGTAATGTAGGCCTGTTATACTGAGTGATATATATCATACACACTGCTCTGCTTTCTGCACGGACCTCACAGCTGTTCTCACTGTAAACATTGCGTTGCGATGAAAGCAGTTAATAAAATAATATCCACAAGGGGATGCATGCAGAGCTGTCATTGGCTGAGATAAGTCCGGCCGTGCGTTACGATCGACTCTTTTAAACATCACTGCTGCCGGAAATGCATCCTCGGAGGACCCGTGGAGGAGTCTGGAGGACCCATCAGTGTATCCTCGATTATAGCTCCTCCAGAGAGCCTCCTCGACGCTCGATCCTCAGTCCTCGATGTGCATTCAGAGAAATTAGATGTCCTTCAACACGGCGCGCTGAAATTCATTTCCGGGTCTCTACCGGAGGACCGAGGAGTCGAGAAGTGGAAATTAGTGAAATGAGAAAGGGCCTTTGTGTTCTCTGGTGTTTCCCTCACAGCTTGAAATATCATCTCCCCTTTAGTTCTTCTCTGATCTCATTGCTATTTTGGTGAAGTCTGCATAAATAATGAATATCATCAACTCTCAGAGTATAGCTGACTTACTTTGTGAATCCTCAGACTTATCTTAAGTGTGCTGGATGCTGAATATGTTATTGTTTTCAGTATAATACAAATGTTCCCTTTAAGTCAGCACATTTGGTGCAGTACCGTTAGAAGGATTGTGCCTTTATAGACATGGTATTGTGTAGGCACAGCTGTAAGGATATACAGTGCGTACAGTATGTGGCACACTTTTCTATTACTTCAATGCTGCACTTCACTGAGTCCTCTCAGGGACATTGACTTTAATGCAGCATGCGCCGTTCTTTTTTTAAATTAATTTTGATATTGCCTTTATTTAACCAGGTTTTTCCTATTGAAATAAATTATATTTCTTAGAAGAGACCTGGCAAAAATAGCAGCACACAGAGTTTCAGCATTTGACATAAAAGCACATAATTTGAGTACATTATAATGGGTTATTGTATTCTTGGAGTTCAACCTGTAGTTATGTTCTTTGCTGTAGGTGCAGACATTATTTGTCCCAGGGTTGTCAATGACTCGCAATCATAATGCCCATTTTCCCACAGCTCAAGACATTTTCAGATCAAAACATTTTCAATTTCAAGTTTTAAAAATAGGAGAAAAGTATCAGATTTCAGAAGCTAGATATTAGTGAGTCAACATTTTTAATTACTGCATGTTTGCTAAATTTAACAAACTAGCAATTAGTGTTACTATCATCAGCCACATAAGCCCTGTCCATATGCTTGTATAACAGTTTAAGAATTCACTTGATATTTTGTAGAAATCGAAGTTTACCACTTTTCTTTTACTTTTCAGTGCTTTAATTCAGATGATATTTATGTGAAAGCTGTATACTCATGAGTCACAATTTAAAGCCACCTAAAATGCTTTTAATATCAAACCCTTTTCATTTTTTAACTAGAGGTAACTTGGGGTAAAAAAAGAGAAATTCCTCACACACACTTTACGCGCCTGTTTACCATCCCTGTCAGCCTGTGATCACTTTACATCAAAGGTTACCAAAGAGTCCAGAGATTAAAAACATGCCATGCTGAAGAGGATGGTAAAAACATGTTGCATCTTGCAGTCATTTAACTACTAATGATTTCCTTAATATGCAATATTTTCTTCTGTAAGGTTGGTTTAGGGACTTTGCAGAAATCTTAAACAACCTAAGATATGAATCATAAGAATGACTATTACTGATGCTAATTAGAAAAGTCTTATTATCATAAAGGATTCATTAAACGACAAATGCCTTAAGGTTTAGACTCATCCACCTCTGTTTAGTGAAAAATGTATAGACCTGACATCTAGATTTCAATTTGGCAGACAGGGATGGATTTTGAGGCTTTATATTCACATAAAGGTTCTGTAGCTTCAAATCCATCATGATTTAATACTACATAGATATATACTAAGGCAACGGTGGGGTTTTTTCTTTGTTATAAAGTCAGAATTAGTTGTGATGAATGTCAGTCACAACACAATTTCAAAAATACATTGTCAGTCAAAAAACAAAAACCCATTAAGTAGAGAGCCATGATGTAAAAAATGATCTTTAGATACAGTGAAAATAACTGATGTTGCTGACTAAACAGTCATTGGGGTACACAGTCCTCAATCATAACATGGCTTTACAATGGCACATGTAACCCTAGGGTTACCATTCAAAAATTAAGTTGTATCTATTTGTATAATGATTAACACATTTCATTAAACGACAAATGTATCTTTGTGGCCACAATGTGTTATTATTGTGTAGTTTACCTCTAACTTCCACTGTATTCCGGAGCCATTCTTATATATTTTGTTCAGTTTTGCAGAAAAAATAAGCAAAAGTCAGATTATAACCATGTTGTTGGATTTCATACAATTTGCAAAGTGTTTATGTTGAAGTACTAAAAAGACCGTTCCTCTTAATGTTGTTAAATATTTAATGTCTTGATAAAATATGCTTCATTTCCCAGGGGCACGGTGTGAAGAGAGAATCGATGAGTGCGTTTCCAACCCATGCCAAAATCATGGGAAATGTATCGATGCGCCTAATCGATACCGCTGCTCGTGTCCTGATGGCTTTATTGGGCTCCACTGTGAAACCAACATTGATGAATGCATGTCAGCGCCCTGTCTCCATGGGAGGTACGGATTTTTTCCACGCCATTTAAAACAGAAAGTGTGGAAAATGCAGTGCAGAAATAGCACAAAATTATTTGTAATTATAGTGGAGTGGAGACATATGTCACATGTTGTAAGGAGCTAATGTGATGAGCTTACAGGTTGTCTCAGTGGTCTCCAAATTACAGTCATTAATTCCCCTGAAGGGGCAATACTCATTAATTCAAAAGATGATATTTGCCTCTAAGGGTTCTGCATGAACTATAAAGCAAAAACTATAGGTTACTTACGTAACCCCAGTTCTCAGAGTAACATGAAGTGAGATGTCTCACTATGGGATGCGCCTCAACGCGTATGCAAACAGAAGCATCAATCTCATTACGCCAATCCTGATTGGCTGGTGATCTTGACGTCAACGTCAGGGAATCCACCCACCCTTTAAGTAGCTTGCGCTACGACGCAGCGTCATTCAAAATAAGCACCTCTTCTCGCTTCGCCTTAGCAAGAAGGGCCGTCTGGTGAGACATCTCACTTCATGTTACTCTGAGAACTGGGGTTACGTAAGTAACCTATAGTTCTCATTCATAACACTCCGTTCGATGTCTCACTATGGGATATTGAAACTCCCGTATTGCTAGACATGCTTATCTCGAAAATCACCAAAACAACCAGAACTTAACAGGTAGAACTCTGTCTCAACACGGGACCCAGCACTGCGCGGGCCACACTTGGAGCAGAGACATCTAGATTGTAAAAGCGGACAAAAGTGAGCGGCGAGGACCAGCTCGCTGCTGCACAAATGTCTTGGATGGAAACACCCTTGAACAAAGCCCAGGATGTAGCCAGTCCACGAGTAGAATGAGCACGCAGGCCCGTTGGTGCCTGCAAACCCTGACTCGTATAAGCCAGAGCAATCGCTTCCACAATCCAGTGGGAGAGCCGTTGCCTGGTAATGGGCTTGCCCTTCTGAGTTAGCCCAGGATATAAAGAGTTGGTCATTACAACGAAACTCTTTTGACCTGTCCATATAGATGCGTAAAGCACGAACTGGACACAGCAAATTCGACCGCTGTTCCTCAGAGGAACACAGCGGCGGAGGAAATGCCACATTGTCAATGGGGGTACATGAGCCAACCACCTTAGGTATAAAGGCAGGGTTGGGCTTCAGCAACACTCTCGTTTGCCCCGGGGCAAACTGAGTGCATGAAGGATGTACAGAGAGCGCATGAATGTCACTGACTCGCTTGGCAGATGCCAGAGCCAGTAACAGCACTGTGACAGGTGTTTCATGTCAGCTTCGTCCAGGGGTTCAAATGGAGGTCGAGTGAGCCCATCTAAAACCACTGCCAAGTCCCATAAGGGCACCAGTGACCTGGAAACAGGGAGGAGCCTGCGAGCCCCTTTCATAAAACGGCAGACCAAAGGATGTTGGCTAGCCGTCTTTCCCTCAAAGCCCACATGGCATGCAGCAATAGCAGCCAGGTACACTTTGATCATAGAGAAAGCTCTGTGTTTATCAATTAAGTCCTGTAGAAATGATAAAATCACCCCGACAAGACACTGAAAAGAGATGTGTCCTTTTTGAAGGCCCCACTCCTCAAACACCCTCCACTTACAGTCATAGAGAGTCCTGGTGGAGGAAGCTCTTGCACTCTGAATAGTGTTTATCACCTTCTGAGGGAGCCCCACTGTATTCAGATTGTACCACTCACGGGCCAGGCCCATAGTGCCAAGCGCTCTGGGTGTGGGTGAAAGATCGTCCCCCCCGTCTGAGACAGTATGTCCCTGCGTAGTGGGAGCTGCCACGGCTGCCCGCACAGCAGCTGATATATCTCCGCCAGCCAGTACATTGCAGGCCAGTGCGGAGCTATCAGGATAAGTTTGTGGCGTTGTTTCCTCACTCTGGCCAGAGTTGGGGGTACCAGAGCCAGGGGTGGGAACGCGTACAGAAGGACCGGAGGCCAAACGTGCGCGAGCGCGTCCACGCCTAACGGTGCGTTTAAATCGCGCATTGAAAAGAACAGCTGACATTGAGCATTTTCTTTTGATGCGAACAGATCTACCGCGGCTCGGCCGTAACGCACCCACAGCTGACTCACAATCATTGGATGTAGAGTCCAGTCTGCATATAGTGGTGCACCTCTGGACAGCAGATCTGCCCCGAGGTTCATCACTCCTGGTACGTGCGTCGCTCTCAGAGAGAGGAGACGTCCGCAGCTCCATAAGATCAGTTTGCGTGCCAGCATGTGTAACTGGAGAGAACGCAAACCCCCTTGGCGGTTTATATACGATATTGTGGTCGTGTTGTCTGTCCTCACGAGGACATGATGTCCTCTGAGAAAAGGCAGAAAGCGTTTCAGGGTGAGGAACACCGCTAAAAGCTCCAGATAATTTATGTGTGACCGTTGGAGGTTTCTGTGTTTATTACGAAACCCAGGTCGAGCAGGTGTTTTACGAGGACATTCGTCTGCGTAATAGCCTCTTGCTCCGACTGTGCGAGAAGGAGCCAATCGTCCAGATAAGTTGCCAGGCGAATACCCTGTTGTCTTAACGGGGCTATCGCGGCTTCCGTACACCGTACAAACACTCGCGGGCTGAGAGACAGACCGAAGGGAAGTAATCTGTACTCGTAACAGACACCCTGAAAGGCGAACCTCAGATATTTCCTATGTGGGTAATATACTGGGATGTGGAAATACGCATCTTTCAGGTCGACTGATGTGAACCAGTCGTTTTGGCGCACGAGACGCAACAGAGATGTGTGAGTGAGCATTCTGAACTTGTTTCTTTTGAGATATTTGTTCAGAGCTCTCAAATCTAGTATAGGCCGAATTCCGTTCCCTCCCCGTTTGGCAACGAGGAAATACTTGGAATAAAAGCCGCTCTGACTCTGTTCGGCGGGTATTATCGATATAGCCTTCTTTTCTAGTAGCGAGAAAATCTCTTGCTCTAGAATATGGGCCGACTCTCCCCGGGCCTGTGAATACAGAATGCCGAGAAGTGAGGGGGGATGACAGCGAATTAGAGCCTGTAGCCCCGTGCCGTGTTACTGTCTTGAAAACCCAAGCAGAATCTGTGAGCATCCTCCACTTTTCGCTTCTCAAAGCGAGCGGAGATGTCACAGCTCTGTCGTCTGCCCTCAGTGTCTCTATGTGTTGTGTTATGGGGCCCTCTAGTGTCTGAACACGGTGGTACCCCAGGTTGACAACCCCGGCCGACACTGCGCATGCGCGTGGTGGTGGTGCCTTCACAATCCCGGCTATTGTCCGCCTTTTGAGAGAGGCCGTAGCCGCTCTCAAAAGAGGGGCAGACGACAGACTGTTTATTGTTTTTCATTTCATTTTTATTGACTGCGCCCTTGGCTTCAAGCCTGGAAACGACAGTGGAAAATGATTTATTTTGAAACAACAATGATGACATGTGTTTGTGTGACTTAAACAGGCAGCGGAACTTGCTGTCTTCGATGTTAAGTCCATTTCCCTGATGGCGCGAACTTGAGGATGACGTTTTGGCATCACTCAAGGCGGCGGGAAGATGGGGGCATGGTGGCACCCCGAAAACACATGAGCATCCAACACTAGAACGTGCTCTGGAGCTGGGGAACAGGGAACTTCCAGCTCCTTCATCGAGGAGAGGAGAGGAGGCTGTCAGGCCGCCCGCTTCTTCTTCCTCGCCTGGTGGCTGAAAACCTGGGCCGGCTTCGCCTGAGCGGCAGCTGCCGGAACCGGAGATTTTCTTGGCCAGCTCCCTCTTGCCTCGTGCCTGGGCTGGGGACCCGGGACGGGCTGCGGTCTCTGCTGCTTCGGTATTTTGAACCGGGCAGGACGTGAAACAGCTTGAGTGAAGGCCTGCCGCGGGACCATTGGAGGTGGCGGCTGGACCCTTCGGGGGAGACAGAGCTGGAGAGCCTCGTCTCCCTTCCTTTTTGACTCGCATCTCAGCTGCATTGAAGCTAGAGCCGAGCCAAATATGCCCTCGGGAACAATAGGCATGTCCAGAACATCCTCTTTTTCCCTGTCTGGAAGGTTCGTCAGGTTGAGCCACCTAGCTCTCTCCTGTACCACCATTATTCCCAGTGCTTTGCCCGTGGCTTGGACTGCACAGCGCTGCACACGGAGGCAAATGTCCGTGATCGCTGCGATCTCGTCCCACACGGCAGGCTCAGGTTTGCTCGACATGTCTTCGCAGAGCTCCGCCTGGTAGGCGGTCAGCAGCGAGGAGACGTTGAGTGCCCTGGCGGACAAAGCTGCGGCTTTATAGGCCCGTTCGGTCATCGCTGACTGGAACCGGTCTGCCTTTGCCGGTAGCATGGGGTTCCTGCTCGGTGTCGAAGCCAGCCTCGGTTGGAGATGGGCTGCCACCATCGGTTCCATGGGCGGCATGCGGAGCAGGCCGAGCCTCTCCATACCGTCACAGTCCAGGGAGGAGGCACCCTGGATTGGGGCCTTGTTGCTGAAAGGGACGGTTCTCTCCACGAGACCGACACCTCGTCCAGCATCTCCGGAAAGACTGGAAGGAGCTGCCTCTTCGTCCTCGCTGCTTGGGGCAAGTTCTTCCCCTCGTAGCGAGATCTGGAGGTCTCCTTGGCCACTTCAGGCCATGGGATGTCCAGCCTGGACGCAGCGCGTTGACACACGGCCTGCAAGTCCATGCTTTGGACGGGCGAAGCTGGTGTGCTCTCGCCCGGGGGAGCGGACATCGCTCCCGGCTTTGCAGCCTGAGCCGATGAAACGAAGATGTCATCCTCATTCGAGTCAGACAGGAGGAACTCAGAGGTATCCTCTTCGTCCTCCATATAGTCCAACTCCAGGACATCCTCCGCGGGTGGAACCATGGTGAGGTCCAATTGGGAGCCCCAGCTTGACACAGCGCGGGGCTCTGCTCTCGCGGCTCTTGCCGCCACCGGGTCCCAGCCTGAAACGGCGTGGGGCTCCGGTTCAGCGGCTGTCGCTGTTGTTGAGCCCCAGTCTAACACAACACGGGGCTCAATCTCTGCGGCGGACGCCACCATGTCTTGATTGCCGGCCGGCGAATCAGCGGACATGAGGGGGTCCTGACCCGACAAGCTAGCTTGGCGTGCTAACCGTCGGCGGAGGCTCTTAATGGTGAAGCGGGTACAATGCCCGCACGAGCCGGGATTATCGATAGCCTCCCGGGCGTGTTCCAGCCCGAGGCAGGACGAGCAGACCTGGTGTGAGTCTGTGCCTGAAATCTTAAACCCGCAGCCGCATAGCCGAGCCTCCGAGTCCCTGACTCCTCTGGTGTGAGGGAGAGAAGGGTCCATCTTCGTTCGCCGGGGTGTCGGCGTGGAGTGGACACGTTAGTAACAGGTACGTTACTGAAAAAAATATCCAACCTTGCCGTTAGTCCGAAAGGAAAAAAGGCGACGGTGTAGATCTTATTCTTTAAAGAATATTAACTGGTGTGTTAATACCTTCTTTTTTTTTTATCTCTGTCTCCTCTGGTGTGAGAGAGAAAAGAGAACGTCCTCTTTACCGTGGTGTCGGTGTGGAGGGAAGAAAAAACTAGCAACAGGTACTAGCTTGAAGAAAAAATCCAACCTTACCGTTCTTTCTGTCGAAATAACGGCGAGGCAGATTACAATATTAACTGGTGTGTTAATATTGCTCAGTCTTCTTGCAAAGCAAAAAAGTAACCGTCAAGCGCCCGTCGACCGAATGTTAGCTTTGGGTTCAGTCTGTGGACCGTTAAGCTAGCCCGGTTACTGATAAATCGAGATGTGCTCTGAAGCGAGACGAGGTGTTTGAATGACGCTGCGTCGTAGCGCAAGCTACTTAAAGGCTGGGTGGATTCCCTGACGTTGACGTCAAGATCACCAGCCAATCAGGATTGGCGTAATGAGATTGATGCTTCTGTTTGCATACGCGTTGAGGCGCATCCCATAGTGAGACATCGAACGGAGTGTTATGAATGAGAACCTGCATATTTTATGAATGTGTATTGTTTGAATTTCATACTGTTTGATGAATTCTAACCCCATCTGTTGTGGCCTTCTCAGCTGTAAAGATGGAGTATATTCCTACTCCTGTGTCTGTGAATCTGGGTGGACTGGCAGCAGATGTGAAACAAACATTGACGTGAGTTGAGCTTAATTAATAAAGCTACTGTCTGTCCACGAGGAATGTCAGGTGAATTTCGTAATCTGTGTGTGGCCTTTGCTATCACAAACTCTATTGACTTTACTACAAGATAGGTCAATTGAACTACAAGGATCATGTAAGCATTGTACACATACCTGATTAAAAGGAACTGCTTAGTCTAATGCCTAATTGATTCAAACCACAGCTTGTGTTGGACTCTAGAGATAAAACATTGAGTTGCTTACAAGGTCTCTCTGAACATTTACTTCAATAGATAATCCGATTATCTGCTTTTTAACTACCGAGACATTTTTCTCAATGCATTGTTTGGCTGTACCTGTTAAAATATATAGTGTTATTGCTGAAGTGCTTGTGTCTTTTCATTTCCAGGAATGTGCATCCTTTCCCTGCTTTAACGGAGGATCGTGTGTGGATCTCATTGATAAATATGCATGTTTCTGTCAGGATGGTTACAAAGGGAAAATGTGTGAGATTGATATTGATGTCTGCAAAGACACCGCTTTTAATCTCTCCCTGTGTTTCAATGGAGCTACGTGCCTTGACGGTGATGGATCAAACTTTACATGCAGGTGAGGAAGTGCACTATTCGTATTATAATGCTTGGATCTAATGATACTGAAAGATTATCCTTGGATGGAGTTATGTAATAAGATGAGCTGATTTGGACAACATGCCCTGCTGAATTGGACCGGTCGAGACTCACTTAAACCAAAAATAGCCTTATAGCTTAGCAACAGTAACAAGCAACAATTGGCCTGGAAAGCATTTGATTTCTCTGTACGCTAGGGTGCCATGCCATTGTTCCAAAGGCCCCTTATTTCAAAACTCTAATAGTCTGAAAATGTTCCCATTTGCACAAAATCCCATTTGTACGACTGTCTGTTATCCTGAAAACAAATGGCCATTGTTGTGAAGGCCCATTACTCCAAAAATACACCCTCTCCCAAACAGAAGCACATGGCTGATATGTGTTTAAGGACGTCATGAGACTTTCTCTTCCATGGCCAAAGTATGACCTGCCATAGTCTGATTGGCAGAGTTTTTAAAAGTATTTCTGTTAAGATTTATTTCAGTATTCCAAATGCACTTACTGTATCTCTAACAACAATTCCTCTTGTGCTTGAATGTACCATCCTTGTGAGTATGTCTGTGCAGTCATACAATGTAGCAGTGGTCCAGGTTGGTACAGTAGCAAGTGAAGTGAATCGTTCCTTTTAATTGCTTACATGCTCCCCTTGAGTGATGAAGTATATTTCACACAGCAGCTCCCTAGATGCCTTACAGTTGATTACATTGTCTAACCCTGTGCTGATGTGATCATCATTACCACAACTCCAAATGGTTGTGTGCACTTTACACTGCTTTATATTGATGCGTTGCACTGCTTACTGCCCCAGCACAGCATTTTTTATGTTTACGTTGTTGTAGGCACATTTATATACTACAAGGAGGCAATATAGCATATGTTATGCATTAATGTGCTCTGAGGACAAACAATGTGTCAAGGAGAGACTCTGAGGCATGAACTCAATTGCACGACTCAGATAGTGTAATAAAGACTTTACGGGAATTTAGCACAGTAATCAAAACAAGGAAAACAAATATACTCTTTCGAGGAAAACTAGCAAGTGATCAATGAGGTAGATCCGTGGGAAGTCCGTGAGGTATTCAGGAACGTGGGTCATAGTAAGACAACGAACTGACAATGAACAGGAGGAAGCTATCACAATATATACACAGGTAAAGGGGACACAGGTGGAAACAATCAGGGCGGGGAAAACAATCAAGGACGCAGGAGACAGAAGGGGGCGGGGAGCGTGGAGGCCTGAAATGAGAGGGATGATTAATTAAGGGAATAAACATAAAGCACAGGACAAAGGGACATGACAAAACTAACATAAAGAATACACTTTCACTATTAGTTTCCTAGACATGACACAATGTCCTTTAGTGTCCTGCTGATCTGCAATTTGATTTGCTCTATGTGCACTTTAGAGAGAAAAGGGTTCTATTCACCAATATGTATTTATTTGGGTTTGAATTACAGGATTTTACACCACCAACCATTATTACAGGTATAGCTAATATCTTGAGTGACACCTGGTTCCAATCCTATGTGTCCCTCTGATTTTCCTTTACATCACAATCACATGATTTTTACATCTATTTACATCATTCATTTTTCCACTTGAATAAAGAGTGTCTGGTCTGGCTAGCACACTTACTAATGGCCTTACATGTAAAATCAGTCATGCATTCATTTCTACAATACATGAAATACAGTGTTCTTTAATCTGAATGGTGTGTGAAAATTACATTTTGACCCTTTTTAAACTCAGCCTCATAACCACTCCTTTTCAGATGTTACCTGATTTAATTCATATGTATGATTCAGTTTCAACATAAATCATATTTCCAAAGAGGAAATCAGGGTTTGTTTATCAATATTCGAACCTCAAACAACAATCAGTGTTTTAGTAAATCTACATGATTTATTTCCCATTGCTCTGCTTGTGTCACATATTCTGACGTCAATTATGTTCAAAGATGATCAAGGAGTTTACAGTCTGTTGATTGTGAATTGGAAATCCATGCAAGTCAGCAGACCTTGGTCTTCCCTTTGCCTCAGGAAGCTTTGATGCATGATCAGGCTCTGGAGAAGGACTGATTCTTCTACATAACTGAAAGCCAGTTGGGATGACATTTGCAGAATCAAGTGGCACTGCTCTTTGCTCAAGGTGTTGCCTATCTACATCCAAAAATCTCCAATTCCACAAAAAAACTAAACCACACATAAATATTCCCACTTTAATTACACGTTCATTTTATGCACGCTGAATCATCCATTATGTGTTATCTTCCCTTTAAATAAGGTCTCTTATTTCCAGTGTGTGATCTGTAAACTTAAGTTTCATCAGTGAGTTTTTTGTTATTGTTTGGCCCTGTTTGTCAAAGAAATATAATAACATTAATGATATTAACACATTAGGACAATTGCCAAAATACACACTCAAGAAAGACGTCTTGCCTGAAACATCCGTATGGCAATATTTAAAGTAAAATTGGAGTACTTTCCTAGTCTTTGCTTATTTATCATAAATAGATACAGGACCATATACATTTTGCCAAACTTTTGCCAAAACAACAAGGGCCATTAGTTGGAGAGCAGTCCTTTGGCAACATCATCGCTGAACAGCGTTTTCTCACAGCTCTGATAAGAACTCCTAAGTACTTTATCATGAGTTTGTTTACTGTTTATTTGTGGATTTATTTTTGGATGTATTATAAAATGTGCTGTTCGACTAATGCTTTGCTATTTCTTTGTTATGAAAACATCTGGATTTACAGACTTGAATTTTTAACAAATAGTTTGAGAAAATAACAGATAATAATCAGACTTTAAACAATCCTTACACTTAATAACACAATTATTGTAAACTAATCCAAATTCATCATGAGACCGTTATAAACGTTCTTGAAATTGTACATTCATTAAAAAACATTAGTTGGTGGTTTGAACCCTCTCTTCAGTTTAAGCTTTACTAATTCCACTGCTCTCATAATTCAAAAACAATGTGTCTGTTTTGAATAATAAACTCTAAGATAAGAAGCAACAACTGACTAGAAAATGGTGTTCTTGACAAATAATGAAAATAAGCTGTTCTTACAGATGCAGTGTGTCAGCCGCACAACAAGGAAGTGACAGCTCTGTGAAACAGCCTCACAGTTTGAAAGTATGATATGTTTTCTCAGCTGTCCACCAGGTTTCATGGGAGATTTCTGCGAAGTGGATGTTAACGAATGTTGCTCAGCTCCCTGCCACAACGGTGCCATTTGCCAAGATCTTATTAATAGCTACGTCTGCCACTGCAGGTCAGGTGAGTCACTCAGACATCCTGCAAGTTTCTCAATTTACTTTGAAATGAGGCAACCAAAGCACATTCTTTTTCTTTATAAGGCCTGTTACAGGAAAGCTTTGTGGCTCACGAACAGGATAACAAAGACACATTCTAGACGGAAAGACACTTTTGAGGTGAACAAGAGCACTTCACTGTGCCCCAGATGTCAGTTTACCATATGTAAACCATGTTAATACATAGAAAATGCCCAAATTGGATTGAAATGGGCCATATGAAGTGTCACCCAAGGTTACCGTGTTGCCTACATTGCCTCTGTTCCTTGGAGCTATTCAAAAATCATGAAGTTTTCTCCAGGGAGAAATTTGTAGTTATACAGTACTAAAAAAAGACAGTGATAAAAAGCCGATACGACTCAGGCTCATTAAAATGTATGTGTCATCTTACTCTTTAGTGAAAGTCTTTTCTTGTCTTTATATGTGTGTGAACCCAAAAGGAAGCAAATCAATGTAAGAGAATCTGATTGATATTCACTTCAGAGGGTGGAAGTGGGAGAGTCTGGGCTCACCACGGCACTCTGTGGGCTTTTGTTCCTGGCAGGTTGGACAGGCCTTCACTGTGAGGATGACATTAATGAGTGCCTTCCCCAGCCCTGCAACCAGGGGATATGCATTCAGAATGATCCGGGCTACGGCTACACCTGTTTCTGTCGTCCTGGATTTGTGGTGAGGCTCCCCACCTTATTCCCCATGGCACCGTCTGTTTTCTCTCTCTGTTTTTTAAATTAACCTTAAACTTGATTAACCTTACACCTTCAACTCTTCAGTCCTCTCTTGGCAGTCATTTCCAATGTGTTAAAAACGTACCTTTACCTGTTTCTCTTTGTTGTTCATAGTCTAATTATGTATTCCTGTTGTGCCTTTCTCATATAATAAACATGTTACATTTGTGTTTACTAATAATACTTTGCTGTATATAAAAAATGTTTAGCCTCCGTTATAAACCAAATAAAAATTATGACATATGATATCATTGTTTAGTCAGTAATCAAATACTATCTTGCATCACATATTAAAAAAGAATATGCACAATGTCATGCTCCCTATTTAATGCAGTCTCAATTATTCAGGCTGTAATAATGTTATTCCATTTAGCATCTGACCGCAGAGTTGCTGGACACATCTGAAGGCTGTTTATTTTTCTATACACAGGGGAGGAACTGCGAGCACAACTATGATGATTGCCTGTTGAATCCATGTCCAGAAGCCTTTTCCTGTGTAGATGGCATCAACAAGGTCAGCTGCCTGCCTCCTGTTACCGATGCTGTTCCCTTGGCGACGGTAGTAAAGAACACCACTGACGGCTCCTCACCTAGGATGCAAACGCCAACTATCGGCCCAGCTACAGCAGCTGAGGAATCCACAGGTATGCTGGGATTGCAAGTCATGGATAAATTGTACACAATACAAACATTAGATTTTAACCAACAAGGTTCAGTGTGAGCCTATAAATACAACGCTCTCTCAGAACAAACCAGTGATGACCAATCCTTTGAGCTACTGACTTCTTACAAAAAATACGTGTCTACTTTGGGCCTTTTATACCCTTTAAGATGAATTATGATACTAGTTTCTGGCGGAGATTTCCCCCCTTTATACATTTAGAACGTAGTAATATACTCATAGGTGTCCCTTAATGAATGTACTGTTTAAAGTATATTTATAGTATTTTGATGATTTTAAATGCACTACTTGGAGTAATGGAGTATTTCTACACTTCATCACTCCATCGTATTGTTACTTTTACCTCAGTGAAAGACCTGAGTACTTCTTCCCACACTGGGTATATAGTGAGTGTGCTATCACTGTGCTGTCTTTGTAAGCATACTTAAAACTTTATCTTATATCCTAATTGTGAAAGACGTGTACAACTTCAAAGGCGGCGCACAATTTCACATCAGTTCAGATTAGTTTCTCCTTTTTTTTTTTTTTCTGTCTGTGTTCAGGATGGTTCTACATACTTTTGATGAAAACTGTCCCTCGCGAGCAAAACTTGAGATCAAAATGATAATGAATGATATTTTTATACTATAAAACCCAGACTCAGGGATTCTGGAAAAGGAATTGTTCTTAATGTTTCATCAACTTAAATGCTAACGTTTCTCAATCAAGTCATAGCTTCCATTACTATGCTATTACTTCCATTCACATTATGGGTGCAGGAAAGAGACACTAAATTATTTAAACTGATAGGCCATTACACCAATCAATTGAACTGAAGGTGGTCCAGGGATTACTTTTTTTTGACAAATTACAGCGCTATCCTTCTCTTGTCCTTCCTACTAAACATTTTTGGTACCCAAGGCTTGCCAATTTCCAATAAGAGAGGACTCCAACTGAGCTGCTACTCCAAATGTGATTTTATAGCCTTTGGAACATAGCAGGCGAGGAGATATCAGGATTGATTTACAGTAGAGATTGTGGTCGTTTGTGCAGCTGTGTTCTAGGTTTGTATCCCTGAAAGTGCATTTTCAATTTCTATTTGAGAACAATAATTTGAAAGAGTGGTAAGTCCAATCAAGTTTTGGCTATATCCTTTAACACTCAAATGAAGACACAGGAGACAATATGTTGACGTTATTGGGGTTGGATTCAGTCATCTATGTTAGAGGAGGATTTCAGAGTACTGGGCAGATTGTTACTCCTTGACAGATGAGGTCTATCTACCTTTGAAACTGTTCACAGAGCTGTAAAACAGACCTATTGAACAGAGACGAGCTTGAACCAATTCAGTGAGACACTCTGAAAATCACTGTGGGCCAAACATAATGGAGTCCTCCCCGCTGCACCTGATCCAGCCTTCATCCAGTGCATATTGCATCGGCTCAGAGAGGGTTAAAAAGAAACACAAGACACTGGCAAAGAAAAACAAACCCAGGCCTCTACACACCAAAACATCTCTTTTAACCTTTTTACATATACGTGCATAATCAAAGTAAATACGTTTAAAAGTAAGAGGACCCAGAAACTCATGAGTTTATCTAACTAGGTCACCATCTCCACACATGCAGTGCCCTTGGTGCTGCTTGAAATAGACACAGACAGTTCTCCTTTAAAGCTAAGGACTGCTCCACAACCTTTGAAATAAACCAAGTCATTGGGAATTTAAACATAGGGGGGCTAGTTAACATGGTACACTGACAGTAGAAGATAGCTTTTCTTGTTAAAAGCTAAAGAGCATGGGAATTTAAAACATCTTCAACATTTCTCCTCTTAATTTTGATGGAAGAAAGTAATTCAGTGAGTAGCTGAAGAAATATTATTCCACAGATTGAAAGGATTGTCTTCTGGGTTAATCCCCAACCCCCAGAATTCACTATTCAATGCTGAGCTTCACAGTATTTTAGCTGCACAATATGAGAGCTGATGGGAATCTAGAGAGGACACTGCTGGCGGAGGGAGGCTTACTGCAGCTAAGCCAGAATTTGGTTGACTTTCCTTGGAGTGATCAACACAGCACAGGTGAAGCTGTTATCTGTTGCTGCCACGTGTAGCAAAAATGAAATTACTTAAGCTCCTAAAAATCCACTTGATGAGTAAGAGGTTAGCTGGAGGGTCCTTTCCAACATGCAGTCCCCTGTCTGGAGGCAGTCACCTCGTTGACCTTGAGTTAACTTGCATGTATTATGTTTGCATGTTTATTTACGACTGAGTGGGCAGTGTCTGAATATTAGTGTGTTTGTACCTTTTCAGATATATTCAGAGACACAACTTTGCTGTTGAGTCATGATGACGTCCACATGATGTGTGCAGTTATGAATAATAATGAAAGCTCCACGAGATGAAAAAAAAGCAGTGTCTACATTTGTGATTCCAGCTTCACTTAATGGACTGCGTGCTCCTGTACTCTAACTGTCACTGATGAGTAATTTTATCAGTTATTTTTAAAACCAGACAACGAAGATATAACTTGACAAAATAACCTTATTATATTTAGGATTTTATTCCTCTGTGCATGTCAGCAGTATTTTACTTGTCTACTAAATCATCTTACAACCAGTATTTTAATATAAAAAAAAGATTCTGCCAGTTTTGTAGGTACAGAACAGGATGACCTTTTGCCTTCCCTCAGGGCTGTGAAATTACAAGGGTCCCAGAATGGTCCTCAGCAGTATTTTATCTCGGGCCTGTGACAAGTTCAATCAGTCAGTCTATTACCTTGCCCAATAAATCAGTGGTGAAACCGAAATTACGTCCTGCCTCTCCTAAAATAAATGGGACATTAAGACTATATCAATTAAATCTTGCCACCCCAAGTCAATCCTCCAATTGATCGTAAGTTCATATTTCTCCAAATGTATTCTTCTAGGGGAATATCCTGTGCGTTACCCTATCTGACATCTGTTTTGCTCCACCTTTACAAGTTACATTTAACATGACTCATTTCAATGTTATCACATCCTTTATGGTCATGTACTAAGACTGGCCCTAATTCAACCTGATCTGAAAGATGTATGGAAAGGAATATTCCCACTGAGTTCTCTTTCTATTGAAACTAGAAAAAAGCCTTTGAACAGAGTATAGTAGGCTAATGACAAATTCCTAGGTCAGCATTATTTTAGCTTGTTTCATTTTATAACAGAAAATAATGATAGTGCTCAAAACAAGAAAGGGAAAAAAATATAAGCTACTGTGTAAAGTGTATGTATTTCCAATTTAGACTTGAGACGTGTGTAGGAAAAATCCAGTATGAGAATGTAAGGTAGCGGTAAAAACCGGAGACCTTTGAAGAAGCGACTGAAGCTAACTGCTAATGAGGTATGATATTGCCTCCTGGCAGCAGCCTCTAACTGCATCAAAGCCTACATCAGACTAAACAAGGCTTTAAAATGAATGAATAGCTTTGTCTCTAAGGAGTAATTTCCCATCATCAGCATTGGCAAACCCCATTGTCAGGAGTGAAGCAGAAGACAGTACTGCATTGTTGTGGTGTGCATTTATCCTCATTAATTCACAGATCACAGTAGGTCTGCGGCTAATAATTCTCCCTTTTTTATGTGATGGGATTTTCCTCAGGGTATTGGTCGTAATGCTCTCCAGAGAAAATGAGGGTATTTAGGTTAGCTTGTTTGCCAAATGCCCTGGGGGGCCCTCTGTCAGATCAAAGAGGGTCTAGCCTATTAGGATTTGACGCGTAACAAATATTGATAAAGGTCTCACTTGCAGCTGCCCGATTAATCACAGCAACAACTTTAAAGGGGCTTTGCTGATTTCTCCAGTGTAATGATTTTTTTTCCAAATAAGAACAGACAGAGCATGAGACAGGTGCAACCAGGAATGTGTTTCATTTTAACAGCCTCTCCGATTTTAGTTTTCTCCAACAAATTGCACTACTTCCCTCAAATGAAAAATATATTGAGCATGAGCAATGCCTAATGCTTGCCTCCAATTGCAGTGAGAGCCAGTCTTTTAAGTTTGTCTGAGTCACTGCCCCCAATAAGCTTGGGGGCAGTGTAACTTTTACTGAAATATCCCATAATTGCCTATTCTCATGGATGATATAAGCCAAGTTATCACACTATAAAATGAGCCATGTAATAAACTTGTACAAATAGGTTCATGTCCGCCAAGACTTCTCTAGCCTAATATAGTGCCATTTGCATGCTTCACAGCTCTTTGGCAAATAAGACTATTTACAGTACGTCTGTACAGTGAGCAAAACAGCAAGACTGTAATGGTACCAAGATATTTTAAAAGCTTTTTTTTCTGCTTTCGGAAAGATAATTAACTACTTATTGCCTTCCCGCACCAAATTGCCTGCACTGTGCATTTGTCTTTTCAAGATGTGTTACTAACATGTTACCAAGGTTATTTAATGGACAGGTTACATTTCTATTTTAATGCAGCGACCTACAGTAGTGTGTGAAGCAGAGTAACAAAACCAGAAAGTCTCTGTTCAAGCCTCAGTGGGAACAAGCATCCTTCCTGCTGAGGTGTCCTTAGACAGACTCTGCATCTTGAATAATTCTGAGGTCGTGGTTCTGTCTCTCACCCTGTGCACTGACCTCCCTGTGGAGGAAGGGAGCGAAAAGTTGGATTCTCCTTTCAGGGATCAATAGAGAATCTCAGCAGCGTTGACTGTGAAGATGCATAAACTGAAGTCTGTCCTGCTTTTGTTTACCCTTTTCCCCCCATTTTAGTTATATTCTATTTTTCTTTTTTCTTTCCCAGATTCAAGCTATGTTCATTACTTTGGGAATTCATACCTGGAGTATGAAGGTATTGACCTCAGCGCACTCAACAACATCACTGTGAGATTTCAGACGCAAGTATCCCAGGGAACCATACTTTATGTGGACCAAGGACCGGCCAACGGTGATTTGTTTTTCATGAAACTCTTCATCTTGAATGGAAGCTTGCAGGTACAAACTCAAGCTCAATGGTTGTTGTTGTTATTTGTAATTGTTTTTTTAATATCCCCCCTTCAGACCCAAAACATTACATTGAAAATATTGTAAAAATAACAAAATTGCCACTCAAAAATAAATGCTAGCAACAACAAAGCTATTACAAAATATAAAAAGAAAAGATTCAGGTAGGTAATGCTTCAAATGGCATTCCTGTCTGACTTAATATTATCTTTTGAGAAACTATAAGATTGTTGTCTTATTTCAGGGTATATCTTTGCATTTCGAAGTCATAAAACACATATTTAGGGTTATTATGCATGATTATTCTCTGGTTTTGTAGTCGTTAAATCAGATTGTCTCATGTTTGCCTATAAAAGACAGCTATCGTGCAGTCAGTTTATACAGTTCATAGAGCAGAAACATGAGAAAACCCTTTTTATTCTCTCCCCTTTCAGTACGCCTTTTGCTGTAATGAAGAAGAAGAGGTCACACGGATCAGTACAATAATTCATGTCGCTGATGGCCAGGTTCACATCGTTAATATCAGGTATGTTCAGCATTGTTATATTCAATTAACCTTTAGAAACCAAAGGTGTGAATGTTCAGATCTGTGTTGTGGTCAGCTTTATAGAAGCTATGCTGGTGCAATTTGAGAGAAAGCATGTTATATCAAAATATAATATTTTCTTATTTCGTTTTACATCTTTTAAATTACAAGTTAACAAAGACATCAACCCAGATGCAGTTTATTATGTGTCTGTTTCAAATGAGAATATTCTGATGAGAATAAAAAGAGGCATATTCAAGATAAGCTGCTTACAAAAGATCTTAGTAATATACAAGTTGCTTTCGAAAAGTGTTGGCACCTCAGGTGGTATTAACTGAATCCTCGGTTATCCACTCATTTCAAGTGCGGGAGACTTTTCTTTGTAGACAAGGGCTGTCACTAATACCAGGGGAAGATATGTAATTGGCAGAAATCACCAGACTGAGAATGTAGATGTTATTACAAATGAGTAAATGGGCTTACATTTTAAAGAACTAAAGCAAACGTCAGAATGTGCCTATTAAAATGCATTAGCGATCACTGACCATGTTTTATTGCCTGTTCTAAAGTCTTCATTTGCAGTTTTTCATTACGAAAAGATTAACAAGCAAGAGCCGAGCACAAAATCAATGTTTAAATGATTTAAAGTGAGGCTGTGGCCCCCTTTAGTTATATTGTTGTGCCCATGTGCAATCTTCCTGCCAGCCCTCTCCATTATATTCTGAAATGAGGAAGATTGTGGTTCAGTTTCAAGACAAAAAGTGTATTATGTATGAGCTGGAAGTGGAGACAAAGTGGCAAATGTTCAACTCATCAGTTTGCATTTGAGGGTAGAGCAATGTTGCAAAAAGGGCCATTTCATTTAAATGTTATAACAGAAGTTAAGAGAAAGTAAAGCATTTAACTTTTCTTAAGATGAAGATTGACCAGAATTAAACACAGATTAAGGATAATGAGTTACTGCAGTGATTATGAACGTGTTGTGCCAAAGGTGAGCTAATTATCTCCTGTGGAAACAAAGCTGAGTGTGAAGGTTACCTCATGTTTCTTGGCAGAATGCTGCACTGCCCTAAATACGCTAATGCAGCTAAAAGGCCTTTCAGGTTTAAGGGGCTGCGAGGCCCAACCCTGTTTTTCTTTCTGCAATAGAAATACAACAGCAGTATGAATCAATCATAATGTTCTGTTCCAACCCCTTGGAGACATTGCTAGAAAGAGAGCTGTCATAACTAGAGGGTTGGGAGTATGGAAAAATGGTTCCTGGTGTCACAAAGCAAATTCTTTGTAATTGTCTGATGCCCGAGTCCGTCCATCTTTGTCTGATTTAACCCAGAGCTACAACACCATGGCCATCCTCAACGTCACCGCCTAACTCATTATAGACTTTTAATATATCTTCCCGTCAAAGTCGCTTTTCAATATGTTAAATAGAAACCCAGTGGGGCTGACTTCTCAAGGACAGTGAGCACAGTGCCCTCTGGCTGCGGGCCAGGCCGCTCTGGCAGACTGCTTCTAAATTAACCGCCTCTCCACGCCGGGCTCTAGAGGAAGGACTTATGCATCTCGGAGTTATGCCCCGAGTGTTTAGCCGGCATAGGCAACAGCCTGCAAAGTACAGGCTTAACAAATCAGACTAGATTGCTTCGTGGGCCTCCTAACTTCAACTCTGGGAACAAGGGGTATCAGGAGACACTAAAGAGGAGGCAGTGCATTCGTGGCCTGAGTACCCTCAAGCTGCAGATGGTTAGACCAGATCCACACTCAGGTAATTATCTGCTCTCCCCTGTTGTTTCTAAAGTGGAGAATTGGTTTTTGAGATCTATGAATGGCTTTAGGGGGGGTCCAAAATAGTTGTGTTTAGGATACCTGGAGAAAACAAAATAGAGGTAGGTGATCAATTGATATATATCCAGAGAGTAAACAAAACAACTAAATCCATTCGTCACAGTTCCCTGTAAAACTCAGCACACTCTTGTCAGACCATTTTTTGTCTTTTATTTAGGGATGCCAAATAATCATGACGCGTTATAGAAATTGGCAGATAAATGCTTTGAAATTAAGTATGGGCTTTGGCCAACAAATATAACTTTTGCTGAAAGGATGGGCTGATGAGATTACATGTATTACAATAACAGTAGGCATAATGAAAAATAAATAATACCAAGGGAGAGACTATTGCAATTAGGTGATAAAATATGTGCGTTTATCAGTATCAGCAAAGGCGGTCAGCCAAAATGAGATGGAAAATATCAGCAAGTCACAAAAAGAAATCCAAAATCATCCATCTCTATTGCATTTTTGCACATGTGGAAATGATACCTGAAAGTGCCCTTGTACAACCCACTCTTCTCTTAGAACAAAATGTACAGGTTAGCAACAATAAGTGTTCTTGAGCTTGGTGTGGTAATTGAATTATCAACACATGAAGTGTTCATACTTTTTCATAGACAACACCTGACCCCCTGTGAGGCAGAGCTAACTATTTCTGGTCATGAGAAAATCAGAAGTACAGCAAGTAATTACTGGTTGGGACACATCATACAAAGAACAAACCACGTCTTCACAGGCGGTCTGCCACAACACTATAGACTCAATCAGGTAAGACTTAACAGTTCTCTAGTTTCTCAACGGTCTTTGATTAAAAAGTTACCTTCATGTTACATTCATGTTGTATAGGGGTATAACACTAAAATGGCAGCATAATAATAAATATAGGAAAAAAGCTCCTAAAAAATCAATTGTCTTGATAAAATATTGATGTGTTTGTCCCGTAGAGAGCAAAACCTTTCCACAACTATACTGGATGCATGGAAATGATTGAAATGAATAAACTGAGGAGCTTTTACACATCTGATGCCATCGGCGGCAGCAACATAGACCAATGCAGGTATAGTAAAAATAAAGTTGCTTCATCATGATCCATTCTTTTGATATAGTTTTCACCTGACATTTTTCGAGTAAAATATGTTTTTACATTTTTATGGGCTCACACAATTAAAATTAACTGAACACGTTAACACACTTGTATGAAATATGGAATTGTACCAAAAGCATTTTAGATGTACTTCTCATATACAGTAATGCTATAAAATAGCTGCCTTGGAATGCAGTCCATTTTAATTCCTACTAAAACTTTTGTCAAATTTTACAGATTTTCTCCATCTGCCATAGAAGACTCCTCAAAAAGTTGGACAAATCAATCCACCAATCCTGACAGAGTGACCACAACAACAACAACAACAACAACAATGGCAGCTCCTGCACAAACTCCAAAACAACTTCTGCATGAACCTGGAGTTTGCTTTGATGGTCTTTGCCTCAATGGAGGAACATGTCACGATGTGCAGCTGCCTGCTGGATCTCTGCCTACCTGTCAATGCCCGCTTCATTTTACGGGAACTTTTTGTGAGAAAGGTACATTTTGACGTTTTTTGTTGATATCTGACAATGTTTCACAGTTTGTGTACGTGGTAGAAATATATAACACACAGGCAGTAAAACGCTTAAAAACCTCCTCTTCTGTGACCTCCGTAGAGGTATCATGAAGAGCCAGCCAACAAATTATGTTGCTTAATATATGCTGAGCCTCTTTGGCTAATAGCTTTCACTATGAGGCAGAATAGAGTGAGCTGCATTAGGAATTTTGAGCGATGTGAATTATTCAGGATATGATTAATGAAATGAAAGATCCATATAAGAAGCTTGAACCAACGCTGTGTGTCCATGTTCACCTCCAATGCTCATTGGGAATGAGGACACAACCTTTCAGCATTTGCTCAACATTCAGCTGTGCATGTTAGCAAGCATTAGATATTTTTGTAGAATGGACCTCAGCTCTTTCCCAAAAAATATGTATTTTGTACGAACTGCTCCAACGTTAAGGAGACAGCGCTACAAGACATGCATACTAAAGAGTTTCTTCTTTGGAGATTTCCTCTCAGTGCACTTATGATGTAGTTACTGACGTCCCCATGAATGACATGTTTGACGGCGTAGAATAAAGAGTCCTGTATTTTGCTGTTGTAGTCATTGTCTGAAGTGGCAGCAGCAGTAATACTAGAGTCGTAAATTAATTGATATTGTGCTTGATAAGGCAAGCCAAGCTGCTGATGTCAACTGATTGACATCTCAGATATGTTGTTATGATAATCACGTTCACTTCCCTACACTTAAGCTACAGTAAATGATTAACTCCCGAACATGAATTAAAAAGGTACTTCTATTCTATTTGCTTTGCATGTTGCGCTTTGTACAATGTAATTATGATGGAAATGCTAATTATTTCAAATTGACAGTTGGCTAAGGACCGCCCCCAACCCCAAGCAGTGATTGACCAATTAGCTTATCATTAATGATTTCGGCATTGCAGGCCGAGATCAGCTTTAGACTTTTTGTTGTGCATTGGGCTGTGCTAAGATCGATACCCGCCATTTAAAAAGCTTGAGAGGTGTTGTTTTTTTGCCTTTGTGAAAGAAAAGAAAAATCACAAGCGAAATTGTGAGGAATGGACTAAACGTAGTTAATCCGCTGAAGTCTAATCTGCAGTCTTTAGCATATTCACAAATCTATACCTCCCATGGAAACTAATTGTTTCTTTTAAAGGTAAAAAAAAACATATCATGCATAGTTTGTACTGTAGTGTGTAGTTTATTGATTATCTGTCACTCGTATAATTGTAAAGTATGCCAAGTTCAAGAAAGAAAAGCTTCTCTTCAACGCAAAGAGAATTGCACTAACAATGCTGTCAGCATGGAAAAGATGGAAATTCATATTAGCATTGCAGAGACTTTCAAAAATGAAAACAGGAATGATTTTCACCTTCACAACCCCTAAGGTGATTTCAACTGATAGCATTATCTCGTATTTACAGAATACATGGAAATCTGACAGCATGCCACCCCAAAGCTAACATTAGCAGACATTAACATGGCTTGAGCATCCGGAGTGCATTTTACAGCCCTATTTGACACCTCTGCCATGTGTTCTGAAAATGCTAATTAAATGGTGTTTTAGTAATCAAAAAATTGTATCTGTCTCTCCAGGCACTGTCATAAGGAAATAATGCTATTTTTAAACTTCACTCTTGTTTGCTTTTTAGTTTTTCTGTGGGCGGCACAAATGTGCTGCTTACGTGACAGAGATGCTGCTTTGCTAATCTAATTATTAAAGAAGCTATGGCCGACTTCTAAACAGTCAGTGGAGATTAAGGAATATGAATCATTCATTGATTAATTAACTAATTTATTCATTCATTTATTCGTCATTTTACCTTTCAGGTTCATGGAAGGGTAATTACTAGAGTGCTACAAAATATCATGACATGACATATTGCCTGTGTGACAATGTGCACGTTCAAGGTTAACCTTTACTAATTAGAAACAAATTCTGACAAGCCAAACATGCATTCTAATCTGACTATATGATGATACTACAAAACATATAATATTTCCATCACCATCCCTGAAAAAGGAATCGGATGTTTAATATTCCCATGATTTTGTTATTTTATATTTTCCAATGAAAAATGAAATATTTAAAAAAGTTATAGGACCCTTTTCCTTCCATGCCTGTGAAGTCATATCCTGCTTATTCCTCAATGTGTCACACTCGTAAACTTTTCGTTTAAATACCAGCAGTGGCCTTTTAGAGTAAATTCTGCTGCGTTTGAGGAATTTATTTTCCTCAAAAGCAGTTCAGTCTCTCATCTTAACAGAATGCAATCTCATACGAGCACTCTTCCAGCGATGTGCTTTGCAACACTAGTTCTGATGTCAGGCAGACGGGGGTCCAGGGGCTGTTTACATGCTGACACGGTGTCTGTGTATTGCTACTGCGACTTTGCTGGGTGACAACCTTGCCCTCACATCTTATTGAATTAAGAATAGACATACAGTAAGAGAAGGATATAGCCCCCGCTCCCGGTTAATTATAGATGCATCATCCTACCCAGTGACTAATGATGTGGACTTGTTTGTGTCCTATGAACTGCTGACATGTCATACAGTGTACATCTAAGACATATATCAGGAAGCACATGACTCCCTACAGCCTCTTCATTGTTAAACCAACAGATATCATTAATGTTAGTATACAGTATGTTGTTATTCTGAAACGTTGCACAACGGTTTATCATTTGACTTGATATATAGGGAGCCACATAGGGATGAAATTATGTGAATGTAAATATGTATGTGTAAGGGCACATGCAGTATGTCAGTGTTAGTTAGTGCTTTTAATCAAGTCATGTGTATAATTTCAATTATTGAGTTTCATTTACTTCAGTATTTCCATTTTATGCTACTTTATACCACAACAGCTTTGAGGAAAACATTGTATTTTCTAAGTTAGTTACTTTGCAGATTAAGCTTTATGTTAATTAAAAGCTATAGTTTGAATACAGAATTAGCTGAACCTTGGTCATTAAACATTTAAACACTGCCTACTGCAAAAAATAGATATGATAATCATAAAATAGTATATAATAATTATTAGGGTCATTTCGTATTATGAGTACATTTCATTTCTTCATTTTTGTTGTTGCTTTTTTATACAAGCAATAACAGTTTGTTGAGTAGCAACAAGCAAACACAATACCGACAAATCATACCCTTTAAATTGATATGGTGAACCTGTTAACAACATCTGCTTATTTACATTTCCAGCTGTTAAGAAGCAACATAAAGCATATGGTGAATATAAGTCCGGTGTTGACTCTGTCGGCTTTGTTGCTCTCTACAAACCCCTGAGGGAAATATCTGTCTCTTTAACTGCTAAATGCTCCACTATGTTGACCAACTAGTCTCTTTCTGTGTCTGCAGTTTGGTGCTGAGCAAGTAGTGTACTGTGGGTAATAATTAGAGCTCATTAGAAAACAATGCTATGTGAAGATGAGATCCTGAAAGCTAAACAATGAGCTGAAACTCAAATAGATGATTCCCTGTAGGTTAATTACTCTTGGTAAACCCCCCACATTGTAACTAACATGCCATTTGATACATTGTAAAATACTGATTTGTAGATGCTTCAAGTAAAATTCAGTATGCGGCACTATAACATTATTTTACCTTTACCTACAAATCTCAATACTCCCTCCTACACTTACTTACTGTTTATGTGACCAGTGAGCGAGCCGAGCCGTGCATCTTATATTTGCTTGTAAGTGCAGGATTAACATTACAACAGGGAACGGTAATATATTAACATTTTCATGCACAGTAAAGCTTTAAACTCCTCTCTAAAGCTATAATGTCAGGTGTTATGTCAAATGTATTACTCAGACAGTATTACACACAAAATGCCTGCACACATCTGCTATATCACCAAATCCACTAAATCTCAACAATGATATAGTTATTCAAATTGTTTTAGTTAAGTGTTAAACCAATGCAGCTTTCAGTCTTATTTCTGAGTCAGATTTAGTTGAAATGGTATGTTCGGCCTGAAAATAAGACATTTGAACCGTATTGGCTGTGAATCCTGCTCTCCTATGTTTGGACATCAGCTCTGCACCTCTAGTGGGACACACCGTAATGCAGGCCAGTGCCTGGTGGTTGAGTGAGTATTTGATATCAAGTAGCCAACCGTAAAACCGGTTTTGTCAAGATTAAGCCAGTTCATCTGAGCATGTCAGAGTTTTAAGCGATGATAAATTGTCCCTCCAAAGAAGACACAGTGGGTCGTAGACCTTGCCAAAGACACTCTGTCAAGTATGTAAGCATTCAATTGAAAGCTAAGTGATCTAAAAAATTAGTTACGAAGTAAATGGCTTCAAGGTATGGAAGTTGGCAAAAAAAGGAAACCAGTCAGGCAGGAAATTATTCAGACTTGGTCTGTATTGATCATGACCTCCTTTTACGGCTCATTACCTTATGTCCTGACTTCTCGTATATTTGAAGCTGTGATGTTTGCCAGAGGAATAATAAAATGAAAGTTCGTAGCACAGTTTTGTCCCAGTTTTGTGTTTTCGTCTGCTTTTACCTTACCACGACTGTGCATGTTTTTCTCATTTGAACTTCCATTATATTATTTCTATGAACTATTTTAAAACCCAGCTTTGTCAAATAGGTTGCTTTTTTAATTTGCCCTTACCTTTTTAATGCAATCCAATCCCAATGACAACCCATTTTCTTTTAAACAACAACATACCATTGTTGTGTGCATGTTTAACAACATCCAACAGTAAAATTACAACAGGAGGTACCTAATTGACTACAATTCAATTTGTTGTGCATAATTTTTATGAAAATGAAATATGAATTGGTCCTCAGTGTAATGTTTTTAGACATCAGTACCAGAGAGATTCCTGTAAATGTGGTGAAGATGATCAGGTTTTTTAAAGCAATCAGAAAACACTTTTAGGTGGTGAGCATTTTCTGTTTTTGTGTTTGACACTAATGGGACCTGATGAGTGGTTGTCGGCTTCCTGCTTTGCCAACACACTGCTTAGGTGCTGCCAATTTTTTTTTTTTAGTCATCTAGTGCGTGTTTGCTGTAATTGCTGGTGTCTTTAAAAAAGGAGCCAGCTCAATCTGCCTTACCCAGAAATTGCCAACAAACATTACAGGATTGATTCATTATTTTCAGCCCAAGCTCTTTGTAATTTGAAGTATCGGCATTCATGTTTGCTCCACTTAACTCTTTGTGCAATTCTGAAGTGTCATCCACTCCGATTGGCTGTGAAAAGAGCAAGTGTCGAAAAAGTGCCAGAGCACACAGGCGAAGATAACAGGATTATGACCGTTTGAGAAATGACTAAAAACTCTTCTCTGTTGGTCTGGTGACTGATCATTAAACTGGACCTAGTCTGCGTTTCTGTCCCCCAGGCCACTGAGATGTCCGATCTGTCAAACGTTGCTCGTATTTTCACATACTATTGACTTGGTTCCTTTTCGAGCCTATTAAAACCATTTCAGGATAAGCTGTAGACATGAATGATTTATATCCTGGAATTGTGCTGTCCTTGTTGCCATAAATAAAATCATTCGAGCCCTTTCCACCAGTAGTATATGACTCACAGATTAAGCAGGCCAACAGAAAATTAAAACAAAAATACAGCAGCCACATAGTCCTCTTTTCTTTAACTATCATATTGTAGCTTATAATCCATGCAATTGAAAAATGATCGCAACTTTATTTACTTAATTATTTTTGTGGCACAATAACATGGTGTACACATTTCAAAAAACACAAATCTCAATGCCTCAGAAGCACATTTCCTGTTTAACCTGATTTCACATTATCAGAGAAAATTTACTATATACTGAGTTGTGACAGTTATATGACTAAGAAACCCTGTTACTTACTTAAACTCTGACACTGATTTAACATCCATTTGCCTCCGCCATTGCCACTATCCTAGAAAAATCCAAGACCACTGCTAACTGTATGTTACATCTTCATCAAATGCCTCTTTTTTATATTTCTTGTCTTTGATTTTTCTGCTCTTAATGCTGTCAGTCAGTCATGTCTGCTTTTAAAATCCATTTCATCCAACATCAAAGCACTAAAAAACAAGTGAACATGAGTCATGAGAGGATATTCATGTATCTCTGACAATAAAAGAGTAGTTTCTTGAACCCACCAGATCCTGTACATTAAGAGCTCCTCTGCTGAGGATAAACTGCGTTTTTCCTTCCGAGCTGGACTCTGAAGGTAGAATCCCCTGAGCTTCGGTCTGGGTGGCCTATTTTAAATGGACAGTCATGTACCTGAACAGCAAGCCATTCACCAGGTGTACAATGTCCTCGGTGTAAAAGCCAGCAGATCATCACTGGCTTGTGGAGTTGATGACCTGAGCCGGTACCTCCTCCGCCTCTGCTTAAAGTCATTTCACTTTTTCATCCAGTGGGAAATAACTGACAGGCCATGCAGACTCTGCTCGCAGACAAGCTTCAGTGCTGCCAAGCCACACAGCAGCCAACTATTTATGTTCTGTTGACGAACAAATAGCACTGTAGGGCATTGTTTTCACACAAGTCTGGTTGTGTAATGTTTTGGAGTACACATTTATTTTCTAAGGAATTGTAGGATTCTACTCGCTTTTCTCTTTTGATCTAAATGAATCTCATCTATTTCTATTTTTTTCTTTCTAGGTATCACAGTATACATCCCCTCATTTGATGGCACATCTTATTTGGAGCTGCAGCCCCTTTCATCCCATCTCCAGCCTTCTGGTGCCACTAATAATCTCCCTGCTACGCTCAAGGACACCACTGTTATTCTTAGTTTGACAGTGAAAACCAGATCTGCTCAAGGCACAATCCTCTACAGTGAGTACAGTCCCATTTTCTTTCAAACATTGAAAAGCACTGCAACGCTGATAGCAAGTAGATCACATTTAGAAAAAAAACATGCATCTGTGTTAATATGCCCATTTTGTTGAATACATTTATTAAAAAGTATAACTTGTGTCATGTGAGTGAAATAATTATGTTTATACCCTCCAATTAAAAATATCAATTGATACATTAGAATGTCTCCCTCCGGTATCACTGTGGACGTTTTTGTCCATATGGGTCATTTTTCACTTTTCATTTTGCCATAACTTTGGTTGTGTTGGTGTAGGGCTGTCAGTCGATTAAAATATTTAATCGCGATTAATCGCATGATTGTCCATAGTTAATCGCGATTAATCGCAAATTAATCGCACATATTTTATCTGTTCTAAATGTACCTTAGAGCAGTGGTTTCCAACCTGGGGGGTTGGGGGGCGCCAAAGATCGCAGGGGGGACGCCAGGCCTCAGATGATTTGAGGCCAAATATTATATTTATATTAGGGCTGTCAGTCGATTAAAATATTTAATCGCGATTAATCGCATGATTGTCCATAGTTAATCGCGATTAATCGCAAATTAATCGCACATATTTTATCTGTTCTAAATGTACCTTAGAGCAGTGGTTTCCAACCTGGGGGGTTGGGGGGCGCCAAAGATCGCAGGGGGGACGCCAGGCCTCAGATGATTTGAGGCCAAATATTATATTTATATTAGGGCTGTCAGTCGATTAAAATATTTAATCGCGATTAATCGCATGATTGTCCATAGTTAATCGCGATTAATCGCAAATTAATCGCACATTTTTTATCTGTTCTAAATGTACCTTAGAGGAATATTTTTCAAGTTTTTAATACTCTTATCAACATATGAGTGGACAAATATGCTTTATGCTAATGTTTATTATCATTTGAACAATGACAAATATTCTCATGAATATTAAACACAACAACCTCTGAACATTACAAATATTCGCCTCAATTCAATCTGGAACCTCTCTCATACAATAATACAATACAAATGGTGTGTGTGGGTGTGTGTGTGTGTGTGTGTGTGTGTGTGTGTGTGTGTGTGTGTGTGTGTGTGTGTGTGTGTGTGTGTGTGTGTGTGTGTGTGTGTGTGTGTGTGTGTGTGTGTGTGTGTGTGTGTGTGTGTGTGTGTGTGTGTGTGTGTGTGTGTGTGTGTGTGTGTGTGTGTGTGTGTGTGTGTGTGTGTGTGTGTGTGTGTGTGTGTGTGTGTGTGTGTGTGTGTGTGTGTGTGTGTGTGTGTGTGTGTGTGTGTGTGTGTGTGTTGGAGCTATGTGCATATGCTCGAACGGGAGCTGCCTGGACGCTGCAATCATGTTGCGCACTGAGTGTGCTGACTTTTCGTGCAATGTCCCACTGTCTGGCTTCCTGCATAAAGTCAAGTGCTCGGCGCAGTTGTGGCGAAATGTCGCTCCTCTGTTTTCATTTGAACAGCTCCTTATAGTCGTTAGCGCAGCTAGCTAGCACCAGATGCTAACAACAACAATGCACGTAAGGTCTCTCTCTCGCTCGCTCGGGCCACACATACACACACCCTCCCGGTCCTCCCAATAGCCAGCCGGTGAGCGTGGAAGTGTGGTCTGCCACAAGCGGGCGGCAGGAGCGGGGCTGTCAGCATCAGCTTGTAGATGGTAACTCGATGCGCTCTGAAACTACGGGGCGACCGAGGAAAAAAAAGTACACATGCGTTAATCGCGTTAAAATAATTTGTGGCGTTAATTTTTTTTTGCGTTAACGCGTTATTAACGCGTTAACTTGCCAGTCCTAATTTATATATATATCTTCTTTTTTTTTAAAGCAATACATGATTGTCACTAAAAGCCTTGTCTCTACATTACAATAAAATATAAAAAATAATTGATTAATTAATTTGAATACAAATTCAAGTTAGTAGCTATTATAGGCATAAACAGACAGAAATGTATAATTTTTTCTTTCATATAAATGTTTCTTCTGCGCGTTAAGTGTCCAAACCGGGCTGGTCTGGATAAGCGCATGTTTAAAACATAGTCATTGTCCATGCCGGTTTCAGTTGGATTATTTGGATTGCAGTTGCTCCGATCAGATTGGTCTCCTCCATTTTATAGATTATTTACGACTTTTGAATCAACATAAACACATCGGCAAAATCCGGCTTACTTTGAGCATGTGTTTTAAACAGTTGAATCCCTTTGTAAATTGTTTCCACTTGCGCCGTCCTTTAATTTCTTCATACAACGGGAATCCAAATGAATGAGTCCAATAACCATCAAAGTCACTCCAATAGTGCTCCTTAATTACGCTTTCTTCCTCCTTTAACAAAATACATCACATTCATCCAGTTTGTGACAGTAGTTGTAGCATTTTTGAGACTTTTAAACTTTAATTACCGCTGTTGCGCCCCCCCCCCCCCCTTGTGTGTGTGTGTGGGGGGGGGCGCAACTTCCAACAGGAGTCATTTGGGGGGGCTAATGTTTTTGTTGCATTAACGCGTTATTAACGCGTTAACTTGACAGCCCTAGTTGGTGCAAATGTCCTGATTTTTTGTAACAAGGCTATTTTCTCGATCTATTTTGGAATTCCAATTTCAATTTTTTTTTTGTCAAGCTGGGTCAAGATCATACATCCTTTTACCTCAAAGACACATGAAACAGCACAAATGAAAAACAAAACTTCATGAGAGCACACTTACTCCTGAGTCCTGTCTCATTCTCACACACAATCACTCACACACATAAGGTATAAGGAGGTTTAATATGTAAGAGTGTGTATGAGTTTGGGAATGAGGGAGTGAAAGAAAGAGAGTGAGAGAAAAATAAAGATATGAGGCGAAAACTATAGGTTACTTACGTAACCCCAGTTCTCAGAGTAACATGAAGTGAGATGTCTCACTATGGGATGCGCCTCATCGCGGAGCAAACAGAAGCATCAATCTCATTACGCCAATCCTGATTGGCTGGTGATCTTGACGTCAGCGTCAGGGAATTCACCCCCTATAAGTAGCTTGCGCCACGACGCATGCGTCATTCAAAATAAGCACCTCTTCTCGCTTCACCATAGCAAGGAGGGCCGTCTGGTGAGACATCTCACTTCATGTTACTCTGAGAACTGGGGTTACGTAAGTAACCTATAGTTCTCATTCATAACACTCCGTTCGATGTCTCACTATGGGAAATTGTAGCTCCCGTATTGTCAGACGACCTTATCTCGAAAATCACCAAACCAACCAGGTAGAGCTCTGACTCAACCAGGTGCCCAGCACTGCTTGAGTCACACTGGGAGCAGAACGTCCAGCCTGTTAAGAGGCGGACAAAAGTGAGCGGCGAGGACCAGCTCGCCGCTGCACCAATGTCTTGGATGGGAGACATCCTGGACAGAGCCCAGGATGCAGCCAGACCCTGAGTCGAAAGAGCTCGCGGACCCGAGGGTGCCTGCGAACTCTGACTCGTATGGGCCCCAAAGCAATTGCTTCCACAAACCAGTGGGAGAGCCGTTGCTTAGTAACAGGCTTGCCCTTATAAGGGTTAGCCCAGGACACAAGGGGTTGGTCATTATGACGAAGCACCCTTGATCTGTCCCTGTACGTGCGTACAGCACGGGCTAGACACGGCAAATCCGGCCGCTGTTCCCCAGAGGAATACAGTGGCGAGGAGGATGCCTCAATGTCAAATGTGGTACCTGAACCAACCGCCTTAAGATAAAGGCAGGGTTGGGCTTCAACCACACTCTGTTTGCCCTGGGGCGAACTGAGTGCATGAAGACTGTACAGATAGTGCATGAGTGCCACTGGCTCGCTTGGCAGCTGCCAGGGTCAGCTTCATGTCACACTGTATTCAGATTGTACCACTCACGGGCCAGGCCCATAGAGCCAAGCGCTCTGGGTGTGGGTGAAAGATCGCCCCCCCCCGCTTGGGACAGTATGTCCCTGCGTAGTGGGAGCTGCCATGGCTGCCCGCACAGCAGCTGATATATCTCCGCTAGCCAGTACATGGCCAGTGCGGAGCTATCAGGATAAGTGTGTGGCGTTGCTTTCTCACTCTGGCCAGAGTTGGGGGTATCAGAGCCAGGGGTGGGAACGCGTACAGAAGGCCCAGGGGCCAATCGTGCGTGAGTGCATCCACGCCTAACGGTGCATTTAGATCGCGCATCGAAAAGAACAGCTGACACTGAGCGTTGTCGAACAGATCCACCGCTGCCGTAACGCACCCACAGCTGGCTCACAATCCTTGGATGTAGAGTCCAGTCTGCATAAAGTGGTATACCTCTGGACAGTAGATCTGCCCCGAGGTTCATCACTCCCGGTACGTGCGTCGCTCTCAGAGAGAGGAGACGTCTACCGCTCCATAGGATCAGTTTGCGCGCCAGTGTGTGTAACTGGAGAGAACGCAAACCCCCTTGGCGGTTAATATACGATATTGTGGTCGTATCGTCTGTCCTCACAAGGACGTGATGTCCCCTGAGGAAAGGCAGAAAGCGTTTTAGGGTGAGAAACACCGCTAAAAGCTCCAGGTAATTTATGTGCGCCCGCTGGAGGTCTCTGCTCCAGAGACCCCTCACCGGGCGACCTTCATAAATACCTCCCCAACCTGTCAGACATGCGTCCGTGGTGACCACTTTCCGTGAAAGGACAGCACCCATAGGCACACCTCGTACTAGAAAAGTCGGGTGCAGCCAGTGGCGCAGTGCCATTACGCATTTCACAGTAACCATCACTCTCGGATTTAGTTTTAGGGCGGCCACCCAGCGCTGAAACTCCCTCATGTGTAAGCGTCCCAGTCGTACGACTAGGATGGCTGACGCCATGAGCCCCAGCAATCGCAGGCATGATCTGAAGAGAACATGTTTGCGCAGCTGGAAAAGAGCGAGACAAGCTCTGAAAGCTTTCACTCTTTCCGCTGACAAGCGAGCTGAAAAGGGCACCGAGTTCAGGTGTAAACCCAGGAAGAGTATAGTCTGCGCGGGGCACAACATGCTCTTCTCTGTGTTTATTA